AGACAGCCTTTCCTCCGATCCTTCATCGGAAGTATCTAGTCACAAACTGACTTTTGATAATGGGCCAGTTATCTTGTGTATCTTCACTCCTGTCTCCTCCAAGCGGCCTCTTTCCTTGATCAGAATAACTTCCAGGATCAAGCGAGGCTCAAGGAGTGAGGAACAACCTATAAGAGGCTTAGGATGTTCCCTCTGTCAGCCAAGCAAAGTTGCAGTTCAACATCTTTTCAGAGCTTGAACCCAAAATAAATCACTAGATCCCTCACAGCCTGTGGTATGATTTGATTAAACATAATTGCTCCCTCTCACATATCCCAACCCCTGAATCACAGACACATGAGATTTCTCTGTCGATTACTGCAAACATTTTCATTTTCTCAGCAGAAATCGTAGTGTGGGTGGGCCTACAGAAAATAGGTTGGGCCTCTTCCAAGACCATTACCTTAGTGATACCAAACAAAATCACACAATTACAATCCATACCTGCCCAAATCTGTCAGCAGTTTATTACAAGCTGCAGCATTACTGGCACCAAGACAAAGAAAAAAAGCCTGACAGTATGTCAGATGCACAGTGCATCCCATAACCCCACACGTGCCCACCCAGCGCTATGGGGCTAGTGGGAATATGCTTTAAGGTGTCACCCCAGCTCTTTTCCTTTAATGCACCTGCTGTATAGTTTCTATCCAGTTAACTGTGAATGTGTGAATTTATTCATTTCTCTATTCACCAGTTGCAGAGCAACATGTCAGAAATGAACACCACATATAGCAAACCGTTTCAACACTTTTTTCCATTAAAACCCTTTCACATGTCAGTCTAACTGTGTAATACTTGAATCCACAGGAAATGACAGTATCACCTGACTCTGCAGCTTCTCTCAACTCTCCAGACCTAACAACTTTACTGTTTTGGTTCATCACTCTTAGAATATAACTTGCAACTGTGCATTACTTTTCCAGCACCAAACAGCAGATTAAGGTAGCAACTATTTGGTAAGCATAATGGAGTGTTTAGCAGCCAAAGAGACACAATTTCCCCAGCAGATGGTGGAACAGGGTGAAAAGAGAGTGAAAATCAAACTGTTTTCTAGCAAGTTTGATAAACGGTGATATGTGTTTACAACTTGCCTCTGTTGTTTAAGTGATCAGATGGTGAGTACAAGCAAGGTCCCCTTTCTTTGTCATAAAAATGAATCCATCTTATTTTACTGGAGGCCTGGCTCATGACAGACAGGCTTGATCAACAACACAGGGTCATCTGAAATAATCAGTTTGAGAAATTATTCGCCCTGTACCTTTTTTGTTGAGATTTAAAACATGATTATAATGGATGGGATCACAGAGAAAGCCAATTATGTTATTTCAAACCCAAGCAAAATTCTATTTACTTGGTTGTCACAGCTTTGTACATACAGGGTGGCATACCTCTTTAAGTGAAGACTTCAATCCATTCAATCCAAATTAACTCAACAAATGATGTTATTCTGGAATAGCTAAAAAGAAAGGTTCCATATTGTAGACACAGAGATACTACAGAGAAGATCACTTAGCTAACAGCCTGTTCTGTAATCAAGATAACAAATGTTTCACTTTAGGCACAATACACTAAAACAGTACCCCTTTACATCCATCCAGCTGTGTTTATACTTTACCAATGTAGGCAGAGAACAGCAAAAAATAAACTCTTAGCCCTTCTGCTTGGGTGACTCATGAGGCTCAAGAGACACAATTGCAGCTTTCAATTAAGTACAAGAGATTGCAATAGGGTCTTATAAGGTTATTCCAGGATGCGCGCTAGCAACTGCAGTTCTTCTACCTCTGGGAGCAGCTGGAGGTGCAGTGAGAGGATTTAAAACAAGCAATACATGGATGGTATTTTAAACCTGTGATATCAATTTTCATCTATTTTAACCTCTTTTTCATGTAGATAATTCCAGCTTACGTGTAGAGTCACCCTCTAACTCAGCTACCCTTCACTGCTTGTTTCCATATTCAGAAATAGGATACTCCGGGTGGTATCATGTGTTGGTGTACTGCAAACGATGGCTCCACTGAGAATTCACAGATGAATCCTAGATGTCTCTAGGCCTACTGACATCAGTATTGTAGAACATGAACGTGGATATTACAGTCTCCAGTATCTTACCCTGTTCTGTTAATGCACATTTGTGCTCGGTGGAACTCTTTGTCATTCTGACTGAAATTCAATTAAGCTAGCCAGGCTCCTCAGGCAGCACCAAACCAGGCCAAAACATGGAAGAAGAAAAAAAATCTATTAAAATGCACCTAATCACTGAGCTGTGCTACACTGCATTCAAAATGATTTTTTCTCAGTACATATTCAGAGATCAGAAACGGAAAATGATGTTAATTATATTTACAATGTGGGTACACTATGCAATACAACCCAAGTACAACATGAGCCTGAACTACAAAGTAGACCCACAGGATCTTGTTTTATCAACACCCAAAAGATGTTGAGTGTCACACTTTGAACTTCAGCATATTCCTTTCTTGTGTGAGTTGGATGAAAAAGAACCAAAAGCTGGCTACTGAAACAAGAACAAGTGACACATACTATTTAACATATTCATACTAGTAAAAGACAATG